TTGAGAGCCAACATTCGGCCGTGAAGATGTGGTTTGATTCCTCGACAGGTTTGGTGTAAGATTATTGAACTTCATGTATGTACTTTATTTTAGGAATTTGAGTTACAAATCATAACGGTTTTTCTTTGTAATGTGCAGGTTCTTTAGATACCGTATGGGCTCGAGTTCATAGCCACATTGGTAATCAAATCAACGCAATTCGTAATGGTTTGGAGGCTTCTAGGTCGAAGATAGGTCAAAAGTACCGACAGTTGCCAATGTCACGTATAAACGGGAAGGTGTCTCAGCATTGTTTGAAGGTTCTCGATGAGGAGACAAGGAGGATGAGGGAGCTGAGTTATCAAGTGCACGAACGATGTGGATGTGCAATGCGTGTGACCCACGGGTTGCCCTGTGCATGCCAGATACATGATTCGCTAGCTGCTAGGACAGGATTGTACATAAGGCAAATTCACCCGTTTTGGAGGACCTTGGTTATTGGTTCTGGAGATGGTGGGACGGTGCCTGGCAATGACTCGACCGAGGATGCCGCACATTTTCGTTCTCTGATGGAGGAGGTGTTTGATAGTGATCCTGCTGTTCTTCGAAACGTGTCTCGCATCATTGAAGAGGAGCTGCATCCGGATCATTCCGATCTCAGAGAGCCTGCTGTAAACCACCGGGTTCGTGGTCGACCAAGAAACAATGATACAAGACGTGATCGTTCTTATTTTGAACATGTAAACCGCCAAGAACGCGGCGCACGACAAACAGGTACGATTGAGTGTTGTGTTTTTCACATAAATCAGCGTTCACTAAACTATTAACTGAAACCTACATTTGTGCAGGAGATGTAAACGACATTAGCCAAAGCCGTTATCGACACATGCTTCCAAGGCCGATGTTGCCTTACATCACCCTCCCTTTCTTTCCCCTTTCCTTCCTCCTATTTCTCTCCCCTTCCTTATTTGCTATCCAAACAAAGCGTAAAAGAGAAAGTGAAGCATCTAAATTGAAACTTTCATATATAGAAATGATGCATTTAATTAAAAACGGAAGAAGTATTTTGACTTTTATTAAAAGCAAGACAATCACCGTATGATTGAAATGTATTCATAGTAGGTAGATAAATATGGTGTATTTGTAATTTTTAAAGAAGAATCTCATCTCAATAAACACCATAAAGCTTGTCGATTCCAAATATCGTTTTTTCATCATGAATTCTCATTGCCACCTTTAATTTGGTCATTGGAATTAATAAAGAAAAATATGTGCTTAGAAATGAATTCATCGCATTACTATGAACTGTACACTGAACTTCCTAAAATTAAATCATAATTTTATTAATTACCATTACCATCAATCCATCATCCACCAATGAAACAACATAGTAATGGAGAGAATGTCTAAGAAATAACTTTTATGTATTCATCTAGATTGAATGTGGCAACAGCAGAGTAAACAAATTAAATCAGAACTCTCAGATTCAAAGGAAGAGACTTGAATGTTGCTCTTAGTCCTCTTACCATTATACAAGATTACAAGTACAACCAAGTTTGAGGGGATCATGAATTTTGACATGAGTGCCATGTTAGATTAGAAATTTAACATATACCTATAGAGTTATAACCCCAAAGTAAATTAAGGAGCTAATTCAATCAACTTATTTAGCATGGTCCACTATTCATGCATAGTGGGCCTGGGCCTGACTCACCCACCAGGTTTGGGCAGTTGTTTCATTTTTTTGTGGGCTCATGAATAGTCTAAGCTCAACTGGGCCCCTTTTTGGACGAAAGCCCAACCCTCGATTAAAAAAAAAAAGTTTAAGAATTCATGGGATGTTTAATAGAGATGGGTCAACCAACAACCAAATTAAGGCAAATCAATCAAAGCACAATATGGATTGAAAGGAACATAAGTACGTACGGATTAGTACATTCTAACCAATACCACTAGGGTTATATGTATACTAGTTTTGTGCCCGAACGATATTCAGGTGATTGATAAAATTTTAAGATAACATTTTTACTTGAATGTTAAATACGGTCAAATAATTCGTTTTGATAATGTAGGATATTTAGACATACGATATCATATGGCTTATATTTATATAATAGTGTACTTTTGCAGTTTTGTTTGTAAATAAATATCTATATGTTATTAAAGACTTAAAATTATTTGTATTGAACTTAAATTATTTTCACTGAACTGAAAGTATTTTTACCAACTAAAATTATTTTTATTGATTAAAACTTATTTTTACTGATTCTCTAATATTTTTTTTTAAAATAAACTAAATAACAATGCATTTTGTATGCGGTTAGTCACACCATCTAGCCGGACAAAGTAACCCCTATTAAACTAAATGAGTAATACCTATAATATTAACTGAGTAACTAACCTCTAACACTGACTAAGTAACCCCTATCTATAAAACTGATTAAGTAACCACTATAACACTAACCAAGTAACTCCTATAACACTAACGAAGTAACTCTTGTAATAGTTGGTGACACGGTGTGACTAGCTACGTATAAAAGTTTGTGATTAAATATATTATAAATGAATCTTATTTTAAAGAACTTTTTAAAACGAATTTGATGATAGAAATAGAATTGAGTTATAGGATATTTATTAAAAGTTATGATTAATTTCGTACATATGAAATATTAGAATTCTATCGATAATAACACTTTATACAACAAATTTATCTTAAAAAATCTATCCAAAAATCGATTACTTAGTATCATATGTATCACAATAATACGTATTTATCTCCTATGTGGCGCGACACTTGGCGAAAAACTGGAATGCCAAGTGTCACTGTCTCGTGGCGTGGCTTCGAGACCGACTTTATTTATTAGTGACTAGTTTTGTGCTCGGGCGATGCCCGGATTGTTGATAAATTTTAGGATAAACTTTTTGGCTTGAATGTTCATTAATACGGTCATGTAATCCCTTTTGATAATGCCGGATGTTTAGAGATACGATATCTTATTGCTTATTTATAGAATAGTGTACTTTTTGTAGTTTTGCTTTTAAATAGATATATATGTTATTATTGACTTGACATGCATTATTGTTATTGAACTTAAATTATTTTTACTGAATTGAAATTATTTTTACCAAACCAAAATTATTTTTACTGATTCTCTATTTTTTTTTAACTAAATTAAATATATTATAAATGGATCTCATTTTAAAGAACTTTTTAAAACGAATTTTATGATGGAAATAAAATTGAGTTATAGGATATTTATTAAAATTTATGATTACTTATATATATATATATATATATATATATATATTATATATATATATATTAGAAGTATAGTGAAAATAAACTCTATACAACAATTTTACCTTAATAAATCTATCCAAAAATCACTTACTTAACATCATATGTGTCACAATAAAACCTATTTATCGCCTACGTGGCGCGACACTTGGCAAAAAATTGGAATGTCAAGTGTCGCTGTCTCGTGGCCTGGCTGCGAGACCGGCTTTATTTATTAGTCATATGATATGATATAATATGATAGTTCGTTAGTATACGTATCTTTGAATTAACTAGTTTTATTTTTTATTTTTTTAGACATTAATGGAGGATCACAATAACGTATGATGAGAAGAGATTTGATCTCGTAAATATCACCCCTCAAACCTTTAACCAACAAAATTTGTTGATCATTCACTTTTTTTTTAAAACAATATTCCTCAAGGTATAAGACAAAAAAGATAAGATCTAATTTCCTATTATACTACTTCTGTTTCATATTATTTGTAACCAATATGTTTGCACGGACTCTTAGCAAAATTGTTTTTGTATGTTAAATGGAGAGACAAAAATAAAGGTGCATGTGATGATGAGATAGATAGAGAAAAATGACTTCTTAAAAAGGAAAGAAAACATTTGTTGCATATAATATGTACGTAGCAGACGTTTTTAGTAAATGTTGCATAAAATATATATGAAACAAACGTAGTATGAAGGAAAGGTACATTAGGTTTTGAAGATATACTTCTTTTATTTCTTTTTTAGCTGACACAATTGTTTAGACATGTTCGTCAATGCATGATTTCAAACCATAATACCCTCAATTACCGGCACTTAAGGGTAAATAATTGAAGAATTAGTAACCCTTCTTATGGTGGTTTATTTAATTTGGATAATCAAGTAGAAGGAAAGGAAGGGAAAGTTTATCAAAGTTTGATCACGTGTAAGAATGACTACATTAAAGTGTATCTTGGTACACAATTATAAGCTACGGATACAATGCAAGTTGGAGATTTCTTCCTTCCAAAAATTGCCAACCGATCCTTCACCTAATAAAGTATTTGAATTTCAGGGTCACACCTATAATAAAAGTTTGACTAACCGAATTTGAAAACAACTCCAAACTAACCTTCTCATCTTTATACCACTAATAAGTTAGTAAACCAGTTGTACAAGCTAGAGATGCTTGAAAAGCAATGTTACTATTTTAGGACAACAATTGATGTTATATTTTTAGCATTAGTTATGAAACCAACTATTTAATCAATTGAACGACAGGAAGGGCCCACTGCACCCTAAAGATTATGGGTTTGTGACCAATTAACAATCACTAATGATAAAACTAGTGAAAATTAAGTAATAATTATCAATTGCACATGGGGTTTTGATGTTGATTATCTATCTTTTTTTATCTAATTATTTGAAAGGAGTTCTACTTATTCAAAATTACATTTAAGAAACATACGATTATAAATATTGTATGGTAAAGTTTGAAAAAAAGCTTGTTTAATTAGGAGTTACATTCCTAATCACGAGCAGTATTGATGGATTGGTCTAAAAAATCGGCAATGTTTACAAAACCCTTCATTTTTTCTATTATTACAAGCCTTTGAGTATTGAATATCAACATAACTCACGGTTATCTTATGTACCACCAAAATATGATATTGAACTTATTTAACCGAAATTCAAGATCAATTAGAAGCTCCTTGTCGCTCTTTAAGGAATATATTGGTAATTCCATAAAGAATAAAAATATCTCAAGAAAAAAAGGGAGCAAGTGTCTAGCTGTTACAATCAGTAAGGTGCTACTTCAAGTTAACTTAACATTGGCCTATTATATTTTTTTTGTATATAAAAACTAAAAAAAGTGTTCCAAATCCATTCAACAAAACTAACCCTTAAAATATAAAATCATCTTTTTCACCTACAAATAAACATTTCTACAGCATAAGAGTTGTGAATTGAAACAAAAACACCCTAGACAAAATTAACATAAAACATCATTACTATAGCAATTTATTATTACTTACATATACAATATGGCTAAGTCACCCCAAATAATCCACAATAATATTACAAGCAACACTACAATTTGGTCAACATGGGGGATTAGAAGCAGCTTCCAAGTTCTTACGGTGATCCTCTTTGCTCTAGTCATATGTGCCCTATACTTCTCCCAAGACCATGGCTCGGGCTCATCGATGTCACCTTCATCATCGCCATCGTTGGAGATCCATAGTGTTGTTAGGGATACTATGGAGGAAATACAAATGATGCCAAGGTGTGATTATTTTTCGGGGAAATGGGTGTATGATAATGAAACATATCCTTTATATAAGGAAAAAGAGTGTAGTTTTATGTCTGATCAATTGGCTTGTGAGAAGTTTGGACGTAAAGATTTGAGTTATCAGTATTGGAGATGGCAACCTTACCATTGTGACCTTCCAAGGTATTTATTTATTTATTTATTTATTTATTTATTTTAATTTAATGGTGTTCATCATCTTTCTATAGATTTCTAAACTATATAAAAATGATTATTGTACTTCAAATCTTCAATTCAGTTGGGTCATGAAAGTACTGTGTGACTCAATGCAATACAATTTTTTTTTTTTTTTTTTTTTTTGGGAGGGGGGTTCCGCTTTTAATCCCATTGAATAATAAGATTGTTAGTCTATCTTTGCTTTTAATTTTATTTTACGAGTTAATGTACTGATATATATTTATTAAAAATATCAAATATTAGCAAGTGTAATATATTACGGAGTAATATTCTAAATGACAAATATAAAGTTGAGTATGTCAATAATTAAATAATCAACATTAAGGATGAGAAAAGTAAGTTAGTTTAAAACATAGGAGTGAATTTTAGAGGCAACATTAGTGTTGCTGAATGTTAGTTAAATATGTAGAAATGTTCATGAAATTTTGCTCATTTGAATGGAGTATATTCTAGTTTATTAGAGCATTGAGAGCCAGAAATGTGTGTAATATTGAATTTACATACAAGTAATACACATAAATACTCCTACGCTACCTTTTAAATGATCTTTAATTGTAAAATACTTTTAAATTAGGAGTTAGTCGCAATAAAATACGCACTAACGCAAATATGACATAACAGCCAACGATTATACATGAGTGACTTTACTCAATCTTGACTTGAAATCAACAAACTTACCAACTTTTAAACCAAAACTAAATAAAACTAGTTTTAGGTTTTGCAATGGAAATGGATATTTACAATTAATTACGGAGTAACACTAAAAAAGTAAAATCCAAAATATTCTTTTTTGTATTAGCTGCAACACTAAAAAACCAATCAATATCAACGAGGTCCTTGCCTAATGACAAAAACTGAGAGCTTGTGTATAATAGGTACTAGATCTGAGTTTTTATTCCCCTATTTGTAATTTGATGTAATGCCCTTTTGGCTTATTCGGGCCCAAAAGTACTAATAAACTAATTCATAATTTAAATTAATTACGTATTATTGGAGATTTATAAGATTAGTTGAGCAGTAATTGCTGTTGAAAAAAGCTGGTATTTTAAGCTGTTTTGTGGGATTTCCCTCGTTTTTATGTTAAAAAAAGGTTCAATGCCACAGCATTGTTGGAGAAGCTAAGGAACAAAAGGCTTGTGTACGTGGGAGATTCCTTGAATAGAGGGCAATGGATCTCTATGATTTGTTTGGTGGATTCCTCAATTCCTTCTTCCCTCAAATCCATGCAAACTAATGGCTCCTTATCAATCTTCAAAGCCATTGTAAGTACCCCTTGCATCCATTAATTTATAGCAATTCTTATGTGCACTCGAGTACTTGTACAATTAGGTGTGTGTTCTTAAGGTGTCGATGATGATTTTTTTTTTTTAATCATATGATCATTTTTATCTAGGTAAATTTTAGCTCATTTCAAATAAGCAAAAAGACACAAAGTACCACTTTTATACCTAATTGTTGTACGTATTCAGGTGCATATTAGAGGTTGTATTGAAATAATCAACGAATTGATAAACTAACGAAAAATAAATTGATGTGGACAATGCAGGAATACAATGCGACAATAGAGTTCTATTGGGCTCCGATGTTGATCGAGTCAAATTCGGATGATCCAGTAAAACATCGGGTGCCCGAGAGAATAGTGAGAACACAAGCAATTGAGAAGCATGCTAGACATTGGACCAACGCTGACTTTCTTGTTTTTGACTCTTATTTGTGGTGGAAAAGGCCCTTCATGAAAGTATTGTAAGTATCTCTAATACTTATTTAATTTTCACTTTATAATAATGTTTGCAATATTTTGTTCGAAATAATACTTGTATAGTATATAGTACGTAATATAATATAAACAATAACTACGTTGAGATACTATATATATAATACTGAATACAAATATCGTGTTATTCAATACATTTAAGAGTTTTTAATAGCTCATTCTTGCAAATATTATGTTTACTTTTGTGTTACGTACTCCATCATGTTAAGATATTTTTTTCTTCTATTTATGACTTTGTTTGTGAAATTTGTTAAGGTGGGGAAGTTTTGAAAGTTCAGACGGAATATATAAGGAGATAGAAATGCTAAAGGGTTATGAAATGGCTCTTAGGACTTGGTCAGATTGGTTGGAAATCCATGTTAACCATTCCAAAACTCAGGTTTTTTGGATGAGCATGTCTCCCACCCATGAAAGGTACATTTGATCAATTACTCAATCGCGTTACATAAATGATTATGCGACTTATGGGTCATAAAATGGATATTTGCATATATATGCAGGAGTGAAGATTGGGGTGGAGTAAGGGGGTTAAATTGTTACAATGAAACTCAAGCAATACAGAAGAAAGATTTTTGGGGAAGTGGATCAGACCCGAATATGATGAGACTAGTGGAAGCAGAGATTGAGAATTTGAACGAAAAGGGGTTAAACATCCAAATACTCAACATAACTCAACTCTCGGAGTATAGGAAAGAGGGTCACCCATCAATTCATAGAAAGCAATGGGAGCCTCTAACAGACGAACAATTATCGAACCCTGGTGGATATGCTGATTGTATACATTGGTGTCTTCCCGGTGTACCAGACACTTGGAATGAAATCCTCTACACTTACATTTATAGTTCCTTATGACATATGGTATATATTTCCTCTTTGTGTTTGAAGGGCTACAGTCATAGTATAATTTGCTTGCATAGAATGATTTGAAATTACCTTTGTGATTATGTTGTGGATTTTGCAACGCCCAAAGGGCCTAAACAATGCAAAAGCAGAGTATAAGATTTTGCAATGGCCAAAGGGCCTAAACATGCAAAACCAGTGTATAAGATTGTATGGAAAACAAATTGACATTTAAATGTTAACTTCTCCTTTGATGGAGAGATTGTTTCTACTTTTCTTTTGATGTACCTCTTGAAATATGTGATAGTTTTTCCATTTTGTATTAATCACAATGCATTTGCTTTTCCGTCTGGTTCATATTAATTGCAAAACTTTTTTATTTTGTACGAATTCACTACTATAGTACGAAGTACTATATATTCAATAGTACAATAGCTCTATAGGAGGAAGTCTTAATACATCATCGTTAGACACAAGTAAAATTGCATAACAGCCTTTCGTACTACTGAAAGTCGTCCTATTAGTACTACAGAGATGTTTTTTTTTTTTTTTTTTTTTTTTAGTATTACTCAGAGTGTCTTATGTACTATTGAAATCATATGTAGTGCTACTGAGAATGTTCAGTAGTACCATATTACCTCTTAGTAGTACTCTCAAAATGTCATTATTTACAAAATTGTCATTGTTATGTATTTGCTTGTGTCTAACTGTGAGGCCCTAGGAAGCACTCAACTCTATAATAGTCATCATTAAAATGAATATTACTACACTTAATTTTTATTGATTGATTTTTTATTTAATTTTTTGTTGATCAAACTTATTAAAAATGAGTTAATGAAAAAGGTGAAACAACGTTGTTACTTGTTAGGACTTCATGGACTGATATGGGTTGCGGGTTTGGCATATCAGTCCATGAAAATGATTCGAAAAGCCCGCTAGGCATGGCCAAAGTGTACGAGTTTTTGCCTTAAGTCTGGCCGGCTCGCCCAATGATGACCTCTAAGCTATATGTAGATCTCTGAAAAATAATCAAACCTACAAAAATATCATTGTTTACATCTAATAACACTATTCTCCATTTTATAACCTCGTGCTTTACACAAATTAACACCCATTATAATATTAAGGGGTATCATGGTGATGATTCAAACAAAGAATCGAAGTATCTACAATAAATTATATCCAGGATTATCATGCTGTTGTTTTCAATAAGGTCAAAGTTGCTACCTAAGCTTACTCCAATCTTGGCACATGTATTTTCACACTAAATAAATATTCCAATAATTCATTCATTTTTCATACAACAAAACTAACCAACTCCATTGAAAATATAAACTATCTCTTACACCAAAAACCCAACCATTTCCAACTCATTAGATCACAAATATAAGCATTTTAACCAAACCCACAAAATTAAACCAAAAATGGCTAATAAGCCTAATACACAACCTCAAATAAACCACAATTATACTAATGTTAATAATAACACTATGTCATCATTATCTTCTTCATCATGGGGTATTAGAACTAGCTTTCAACTCCTAACACCACTTATCCTTCTTGTTCTTGTCATCTCTATCTTCTACTTCACCCAAGACGACAACGGATCGAGTCTCAACAAACTCGATCCGTTGTCTCCATTGTCATCGCCATCATTGTCGCCGCCTTTGGTAAACAACAATGAGGTTATTAGGAATAATAACAATGATACAAGAAAGGAAGAAGTAGAAATGTTGCAAAAAAAGTGTGATTATTTTTCGGGAAAATGGGTGTTTGATAATGAAACATACCCTTTATATGATGGGAAAAGGTGTGAATTTTTATCAGATCTTTTGGGTTGTGAGTATTTTGGACGTCAAGATTTGAGTTATCAATATTGGAGATGGCAACCTCACCATTGTGATCTTCCAAGGTGTGTTCATTTTCTCTCTCTTCTATATATATATATATATATATATATATATATATATATATTATATATATATATATATATATATATATATATATATATATATATATATATTTTATAAAGGTTGTTATTTTTTTTACAAAAATTTTCAGAAAATGATGAGATAACCTTTTTTGTTGTTAGAAGATACCAACAAGTTTACTACCTAGGACTTTTCACGTATAAGTACAAAGTTTTGATGTTGCATAGTATATATCTCTTCTTTTTTTAATGATTTTTTTTCTTTTTGAAACTCTTTTTTTAATGATTAAATTTTATCATATTTTCATTTATGCCCTTTCATATATATATATATATATATATATATATATATATATATATATATATATATATATATATATATATATATATATATATATATATATATATATATTATCTCCGTTTACTCTTGTTTTTAGGACTAATTTTAAAAATAAGTAAATGTAATTAAAGTTGATAGAGTTGGAGATACAAAATTAATTAATTTCAATTGTTGCTAGTATAAATTGAGAACTCACTTAGCTAGTAATATATACTTCGTATAACTTAAGGTCATAAATTAAACAACGGAGAGAATTCACTCGAAATACATTGTTTCAATTATATAAGTTGAAAATTCAAATAACAACTAGCTAGCCAATGGAATAAATAGCTTAGAATAGTATAACTAGAGAAGATTATGTGACAATTCAAGGTAGGGGATAAAATAGCTAGTAATTAGAGTTGTTCTCTAAGTGAATTAGGTAATAAATGAGTGAGTAAAAAAATGTAACTAATATGAATAAGAAGTTGGAGTAATACAAGAAGTTTGTCGAAATGTGAATAAAGTAAAAGTGAGTCGAATCTTCTAAAAGGTTCAATAAGTTGAACTTTAGTTTTGGGAATGGTGGAAGTACAAACATTTTTACGTTCAAACACTTCTTTCTTTTCGTAGAGTTATTAGATAAACTAAACTAGTTGATAGATAATTTATAAATGGAAAATAATTCTGTTTTCCCAAAGTGTAATACTTTCTCTATTATATTTCAATTTTTACGCTTTCATCATTTCTAAAAAATAAATTCAAATGTAAAGATTACAAAGTGATGAAAGAATGAGAGAATAAGTCATTAAAAATTGTTGTTAAAAAAAATAAATTAAAAATGTACTATCGAATTATTGATCCAATCTATCCGGAAAAAAATTATTATGTCCGACTCAAACTGCGGTTAAACCGGTGCTAATTATTGACTTTGGATCAACCAATTTACCAACTATTGTACTAAGCCAGAATCAGAACCAATAACAATTAAGAAATCAAAATGTCAAACCTAATCTTATTGACGTTTTGTTTTGAGCGTACGTACATTTCTTACTATTCAATTTATTAACACTAAAAGTACAGTTTTAATAACTAATTCTGACACTACTATATGGGAGTAACGATTAAGTAGTACTGTAACTAATTGGTCAGACGCATATATATTAAAAAGAAAGACTAGTTATTAACCCGAGTAATACTTTATGTTATTGTGTTGTACGTTTGTACAAGCAGTTAATTCTTCTAATACGTGTTTTTTAGCATTAATCTGTGGTTAGTTGAAGGTAGTATGTATTTGAAGGTATTTGTGGGATTTATTTCGTTTGTGATGTTAAAAAAAGGTTCAATGCCACAGCATTGCTGGAGAGGCTAAGGAACAAGAGACTTATGTATGTTGGAGATTCTTTGAATAGAAATCAATGGGTCTCTATGATGTGTTTGGTGGATTCCTCAATTCCTTCTTCTCTCAAATCCATGCAAATCAATGGTTCCTTATTCACCTTCAAAGCCATTGTAAGCATTTGCTTTTTCTTCATTGATCCATGATTTTAGTATGTTTTTTTTTTTTTTTAATTTATTTATATATTAAATGACAAATTTGACAAATTAGTATTCTTCTTCAAAAAAAAAAAAAAAAAAATTGACAAATTAGTAAAGTCTTTAAGTCCAAAAACTTTATAAAGCTTTTGACAAATAAGATTATTATATAGCTTTCGGAGCAACGAACATAATGATGAATTATTAGCTTACATAGTTACATGTATGAGAGTATGAGACTAGTGTAAGAGCATGATTAGCATTATACTCTGTACTCCAAATTTATGTTGTTTTCGTTAGATCTACATATATGGCACATGTATTATTTTAAGTTGTATCTTCTTTGATTTCACACAAATTATTAGTCTACATGTTCAATTTTTAAAATAATTTACATGCATCATCATTTGATCAGTGTTACTCTAAGAGTTCCCAAAAGAAAACATAGAATAAATATGACATGAAATAAAATAAGATAGAAACATTTAGCATATAGCAACATAGAGCAGAAAAGATTAGAGAGAAAAGCGGCTAAGTAGCCGGTTTATTTATGATTGTTGTTTCAGATCTACATATATATTGAAACTTGAATCTTTGTTCTTAATTATTGATCATGCCATTAATTATTCTATCATATAATGCATATCTAAGATCTCTTAAGCTTAATTCAAGGGTACGGTGTCTCATTATTTATTCAACACAGTACTTTACTAATTTAATCAACTTAAGTACCCTCTAATCTTTTCTAGGAAAATTCTTTAATTCTTCAGTGAGTGCTAGGTAGATTGCTATAGCAGATTATTAGTTATTCTGTTTTTCAATATTTGCATCAATGCATCATTTGGATTTTTAGACTCGTATTATATTTGTTAATGCGTAATATTAACTACTGATACAATAACTTTTGCGTACACCCAATTTATATTACGAGTAACTATAAGATCATATGTGGTCAAAACTAATACTCGTATTAAAATACGATGAAAGTATTAATATTATTATTATTTGTCAATTTAATATGGGTTGAATTTTTTAATAACTTGAAGGAGTACAATGCGACGATAGAGTTCTATTGGGCCCCATTGTTGGTGGAGTCCAATGCAGATGACCCATTTAAACATCGAGTTGGGGATAGAATAGCCAGAACTCAAGCAATTGAAATGCATGCCAAACATTGGACTCACGCTGACTTCCTCATTTTTGACTCTTATTTGTGGTGGAGAGTTCCTTTCATGAAAATCTTGTAAGTTACTGTCTCCACAATATACCCATGCTAAAACACGTGATTAATTTCTTGTGACATCCACATTCCACAATCTTAGACAACACTAGGATATCTTTCTTTTTTTTTTTTGAATAAAAAAAAAAAAAACACTAGGATTTTCTTAAATAAAAGTTATCCAAAAAATTAGTGGATTAGATAGTTAGAAATAGGACCTTAGAAATAACATACTTCTAAAAGACTAAAATATGAATTGTGTAGGATTTGAAAGCTATAGATTTTTTTTTTTTTTTTTTTTTTTTTTTTCAAAGATTAACGATAAGGAATTTCGAATGTTGTGGTTAATATAAAGTTTTCTAATTATATATGGAACAAATACGTCAACTAAAAGAAAATTAGGAATAAATTCATTTGATTTTTGGGATTCTTCATATGGTACCGTTGTATTATTGGTTTTTTTCATATGACACCCAAAAAAATTTCTTTCTCTCACGCGGTACCACCAAAGATTAGTGTTAATCAAATAATCAATACAGTAATACTCTGTTAATTGTATTAAGAACCATCTTGACTTTGTATGTACAAAATGTTCAGGTGGGGAACCTTTGAAAGTCCAGACGGAGTATACAAAGATGTAGAAATGTTAAAGGGTTACGAAATGGCATTGAGGACGTGGTCTGATTGGCTGGAAATTCATGTCAACCATTCTAAAACTCAGATTTTTTGGATGAGCTTGTCTCCTACTCATGAAAGGTATACAATTATGAACTGTCTTACAAATTGATAATTTATACACTAAAAAAACATTAATAATTACTAATTAGCTTAAATTTCGACTTAGGATACATGTTCAGTAGTTGTGTGACTAGAATACTAAAAACATTGTTTGATAAGTGGTACTCCGTAGTAAATAATGTTACGTATAAAATCATTATCATTACCACTGTTTATTACTGCCTTGCAAGTGACCCCGACAATTGGTATCCTTACGTGTTCATTATATTGATTCCAATGTACAGGAGTGAAGAATGGGGAAGTACAGGCAGTCCAAACTGCTACGACGAAACACAACCAATAATGAAGCAAGATTACTGGGGAAGTGGATCAGACCCAAATATGATGAAATTAGTTGAAGAAGCAATTGAGAATTTGGGGAAAAAGGGGTTAAATATTGAATTACTCAACATAACTCAACTATCGGAATATAGAAAAGATGCACACCTGTCGATATATAGAAAATTTTATGATCCTCTGACGAAAGAACAACTAGCAAACCCTAGTGGGTATGCTGATTGCTTTCATTGGTGTCTTCCTGGTGTACCCGATACTTGGAATGAAATCCTCTACGCTTACATTTTTAGTTCTTTGTGACACGTAGAAAATATACATACATCATGTAAATAGGAATGATTTTTTTGTATGAGAGGTAAGAAAGATTCACGAAGAACATCAATACACAAATAATTTATTTTATTTACTAACGTGAAAATTTTGTGTATAAACTGACGAGAGGAAAGTTTAGTTATTATTCTAACAAATTACACACTACGTTTGATCAAGAGTTCATTTTCAACATGATCAAGGACATTTTCTGTCCATCCATGCAATTTTTTTTGTACTTTCTTTCAAATTTGAAAAAGAATGTTTTTTATTTGCTAATGATGTTTTAGAGGTCAAATTATTTGTTCATACAAACTAATTTAATTCTATCAGCCATAGAGTAATTCTGAACAAAATATACACCGTTTTGTGTTTAGGGTATGCACAATGGTTAGGGTATTTGATTATTAACTTCTTATAACTAACTTGCGTATTTTTTTCCCTAGGTTTTATTTTTTATTTTTTATAGTATCGTGATTGAATTAGGATTCCCCGGATTGTTATCAAGTGAATCTTTGGTTGTGTTTGCATTGCTCAATCAGTTATATATTGTCGAATAATTAACAAGCCTTACCCTGGACGGCTCAGATAAGTTGGCCCTATATATGTCTCCATAAGACCATAACACTTATGACATACTACGTATAAAGATGTATGAGTTGAAACTTGACCCTGATTTCCTCAATGTGAAAAATTGGACATCACATATTTGATGTTTGCTCCTGATGACCTTCTAATGCTATTTAGAGCCAATTGTACATAAGTGAAAATGATCTTTAAGGGCTAAGAGAAGAAAATTAGGAAATGAACTGAATTGAGATGAGCTGAAATGAACTGAAATTAAGCTGAAGAGAACAGGCCCTAATTCTTTATTGAAGTTCTCTTCTGCCTATATATAGTCTTATTGCAGTGTATGTAATTATAAGTGTTTTAACTGTTGCTAATTAATAAAATCTACAAGACACTTTTCAAATGTCAGTTGCTTAGCTTGATGATTTTCACTTTAGGTATTTAGGAGTTCCTCTATCAACAGGCTTGTTCAGTGTTCAATGTAAGCCTCTAATTGATGGAGTTTTGCATAGAGCTAAAGTCTTGGTAATTAAAAATGCATGATTTCCTTTGCAAGGAGGCTTCAGCTTGTTCAGGTTATTATTCTTTTGAACCTGTAAACATTTTGGTGTCAAACTTTAGGAAAATTCAAGGTTATTCATCAGTTCTGGTTTCATGGAATACCTTATGCTTAGCTAAAGTAGTTGGAGGATGGAATAGACAATAGGCAACGATAGGCCAGGTAAGCTTCTTTAGGCATGAGCTCATAAGAACTAGAAGGTCACGGTGGGTTGATAGATAATTTAATATATCAAAGGTGGAGCTGAGCTAGATATATTTAGGCAATTAGGACTTGTTCTCTTCGTCTGATCTGGTTTGATCTGATCTGAATTTTGTAAGATCCGCTCTGATATGATCTGAATCTTTCTGGTCTGATCTGAATATTTCTGATCTGATATGAATCTGTCTGATCTAATCTGAATTTTGTTTAACAACTTTTTTTTTTTTTTATAATTGTTACTTAATTGAAATATATATAATTATTTTATACTATTATATAATTTTTATTATAATTATTACTAACTCTATAATAATAATAATAATAATAATAATAATAATAATAATTATTATTATTATTATTATTATTATTATTGGTGCTCCTGCAGCTGCTCACATCTTCAACAGAATCGGGTTCGCTATAGCTAGAGGGGTGAGGGCCCATATTGTATCTCGGCTCCCCACTAATTTTTAGTAAATCGTTTGACTTGGTAGGTTTTTGTTATTTTTCTATAATAATAATAATAATAATAATAATAATAATAATAATAATAATAATATGTATGACCTATTATGACCAAAAAAAAAATGTACTCTAATTTAAATTTTTTTTGTTTAATATACAATAGGAAATCAAAAGTCACTAATTGTTCTTGCACTTGAAAAAAATGTGTTTTCATAATTTGTATACAAACAGTGATAGTAGTTGCTACATACTACTAAATATGGAGTACTTACATTTTTATTTTGAAAGGGTAGAAATTGTTATTAATAAATGAAATTGTTATTAATGAATGAAATTGTTTGGCAATCTTCACGCTTATAACTCTAGAATAGTATTCATAGTTATCTTTTGGGTTTGGATAACTTCGGCTTGTAGCCGTTACGACAGTAGGACTTATGGCAATTTATGCCTCTTGAACTTTTAGCTTGTTGTACTTTGATTATCATTAATTAATTTTAATTACCTTGGTTTTAAGAAAAAAAAATATTTTAAGTACCATAATAAAAATAATACAGAGTATTATATGTAAATTTATTATTTTACTCCCGATTATAATGTTTCCATTCGATAATCCTCCAAATAATAATAATAATAATAATAATAATAATAATAATAATAATAATGGTTTCAAAAATAAATAATAATAAAGTATGTGTCCTGGTTTGATCTGAACTTTTCTGGTCTAATTTGAATTAATCTGATTTGGTCTGAATAGTTCTGATCTGATCTGAATTAATCTATTTGAACAGAAAATCTGAAATAAGTATCTGAAATAAGTTGAAGAGAACATATCCTTAGTTATAACTGTCTTGCAAATTGTTATGGCTCCTGAGAAAAGTCAGGTAGTATTCTAGGCTTCTAGCTAGAAAAAGTTGAGGCATTGGGTGATTTGAAATTTGAAACTCGTATTCATTTAGGTTTATTCTCTTAATCAGATAAAGAAAATGTATGTAGGTACATTGCTCTTTTCATTAATAAATAATAAGCCCCCTCAGATAAAGTTTATTTGTTTGTTGCGTAGCCTGACTAGCTATTATACAAAGACCTCACACTTATAACAGACTTCTTACTTGAAAATGGTTTTCATGCATGTTTTTAAAGCATGTGCATATCACGTATATTCTTCAAATTAGAGTTTACAAATTAATTGAAGTTAACGGCTATTGTTAAAATAACGTGCTATAGCTAAAACGAATGGTATAGAAATAATGTTCGTTTTGGAATGATACAAAATTAGAGCAACTTACTTTGTAAATAAGAGCTAATTTCGGCCGAATTGGCCAAAACCTACGCATGCTATTTGCATACATTGTGATAGTCATATTATTAGTTAAGCAGCTTAATTTAAAGAGGCCAGGGTAAGGAATCAAGAATGTCATAATGTATAATGGAAAGTTTAGATACATACGTTGTAGAGTGTAGACATGATTTCATCAAACACTACTTTAACTAGAGAGCTAATGGATTAGTCATCCAAGGGATGTGGCTAAGACCTACAATATCAACTAAGTTGTTGTAGCGGCTATCCAACTTAGTTGAATGGAGATCCCAAGATTTGAATTCAAAGGGACAACCAAGTTATGATAACAATAAAAGCACGTAGAGCACAAAACTCCTACCCATTTTATATAAGTAACGGGGTGCATGCTTATTATTTGGGAAAAAATATAAAATTATTTCTAATATACGGAGTATAAGATAAAACGTAATCAAGTGACGACTTGTTTGATTTGTCTCCATAAATATTAAGAGAATATAATTTATTTTTTTTAATTTTTACTAATACATAATTAAAGTTATAAATATTTGTTTCGTTCTTTTTAGATAATATATTGTTGTCATGTTTGTCAACACACAAGTTCAACGATTTAAATCTCTAGTTAATATTTATCAATATGTATGCACAAAAGGTTGATGTTATGAAAATAAAATTATCAAGTAGGTCAAAAAATTCAAATCATGTCCAAAAAAAAAAAAAAAAAAAAAAAAAAAAAAGCGGAGGAAGTAGTGAAAAAAAATATACAATAGCAATTGCATTATGCAACATTTAGAGAGTGTTTAATTCACCGATATAAATAGCACCTTACATGTTACAACTTACAACCAAATACAATTGCATTTAATTTAAGGATCAATTACTTTTATTGCTTAAAACCATTAAAGTAAACTAAAATTTTAGTAAAGTAAACCAAAAAAATACTATATTATTGAAGAACATATTCTCAGTAAAGTCAGTACTATGATTCAAATTCAACCCTTAATTAATCAAATAATCATTAAATAAGGTAGAGTCTTCGTCTAATTCTTCAAGTTTCCATTACCAGTCACTGTCGGTAAACGTCAATTTAGTGCTATATTTAATTTTCAGGACAAAATCCAACATTCGAATCTCTACTTCGTCCCTTTCACTTTCTCTCTCCTGCAGCTATGGTGCAGGGCTGGAAATGGAGCAGAAGAAGGTCTCACTTACCTCTAATTTCTCTTATCTTTATGCTTTTAATTACTGTTACTGTTCTTTTCAACGAGTTCAGAATTCACGAGTATCAACCCCAAGATCATAACCCTCATCTTCAAAATACCCAGAATTCATCTCCAGCTTTGTTATGTATAATCACTAATTTTCTTCAATTTCTTGCTATTTTTGTGATGAATTTTTGTGGGTTTGTTGAAATTCTGTGTTTTGAGTAATGGGTTTGTTGAATTTCTTAAAATGGTGGCTGAATTTTGGTGGGTTTCTTGCGTTTTTTAGTGTTGAGTATCTTGTGTTTGTGTTTATGTTTTGCCCTAAAGGTGATTTTTTCTGAATTGGTTGTTGCAGTGGAGTTGGATAGATTCACTACATGTAGCTCTGCTGTAGAGTACAGTGGAGGAGATGTGAGGTGGGGTGGAAGTGACCGGCATTCGCCGGTTTCGGGTGGTGTCAAGGAGTGTGATGTATTTACAGGAAAATGGGTGTTTGATAATGGATCATATCCTCTATACAATGAGTCCCATTGTCCTTACATGTCTGATCAGTTAGCTTGTCATAAGCATGGAAGACCTGATTTGGGGTACCAGTATTGGAGGTGGCAGCCAAACGACTGCAACTTGAAAAGGTAAGTGTTATGAATGATTGATGGGACATTGTAATTTTGCTGTTTTTGAGTTGAGGTTTGTGTATTATGGTTGTTTCTACTGAATTTGATGATGGTTTGATTTGGTGTTGTTAATTGATGGAGTGTTACTGAAATGTGGGAAAAGCTGAGAGGGAAGAGATTAATGTTTGTGGGAGATTCGCTCAATAGAGGGCAATGGATCTCTATGGTGTGCTTGCTACAGTCAGTGATTCCAGCTAACAAGAGGTCTATGTCCCCAAATGCTCATCTTACTGTCTTTCGAGCAGAGGTAATTTTTTTTGCAGTTCTCTATTTGAATGTTCCTTTCATGTGCGTTGTACTTGTCAGCTTTGTTACTCAAACTTGGGTACTTTACTGTTGTGCATGTCAAGTAGCAAATTTAGTAATATTGGGTAAAATTCCCATTCAAAATGAAGTGTAAGTGTCCGTATCTATGTTGGAGTGTTGAGGATCTTTTGTAGTAGCTAATTAATATCCCATTATAATTCATGGAACTTCAAGTTCTTGATTTGAACACCCTCTGTTATGCAGGAGTATAATGCCTCAATTGAATTTCTATGGGCTCCTTTACTTGTTGATTCGAATTCCGATGATCCTGTAAATCATAGGTTAGGTGATCGAATAATTCGTCCAGATTCAACTTCAAGGCATCTTTCCAAATGGGAGAATGCTGATATACTTGTATTCAATACGTACTTATGGTGGAGACAAGGACCGGTAAAGCTGTTGTGAGTATGATCCTTTTTTAATCTTTGGCACAGATTTAACTTGTGGCCAAGAATTAATATTTAACTGTCATGCATTTTATGAATCATCAGATGGAGTAGTGAAGATAATAGAGTTTGTGAAGAGTTGGATGGTGTACGAGCCATGGAGCTGGCCATGAAAACCTGGGCTAAGTGGGTGGATTCCAATGTCAGTCCTCTTGAGAAGCGGGTGTTTTTTGTTACCATGTCACCTACTCATATGTGGTGAGTGCCTAACCACCTAAATCATTTTATTGAACCTTGCTAATTAGTTTCAAATTGACCTGAGCATCCAACATTGGTTTCCTTTGCCTACAATTATTGTCATTACTGTGTTATAGAAAAATTTTGTCATTACCTTTTGAAAGACAACTTACGGAGTTACAGTTTAGAGCAATCAATTAGCCTGGACTACTTTTTTTAGAATCCTAATAGGATTACAGTTCTATTACATATTATATTCTCCTAACCGGAATACACTGTCATATCCTATTCCTAGATAAATATGTGAATAAATCTGTGTCCCTTATATTATTCTTATATCACCTCTTATTGCTTTGTAATGGTATGTTGTGATAAGGATAGTCACCCAAGGGAATTGGAGAACAAATGTCTTTTATTGTGTTTGGATGGTATGATGATTCCTTGTGAATAAAGAGAATTTCTCTGTGGCACCACACTGTTAATGTTTCAATCTTTTGTTAAAGCAGCTTATTTATGTATATTTATAAACTGTATGAAGCTTCTGAGTTTTGAAGCCAGCACCTCTACGGCACATGTATAAAATTGATTCAGGATATTGGCTTCATAAAGATTGTTTGATGATTCTTAAATCTAAGACTTTTTTTTTAAGTTTTTTTTTTTAAAAAGTAAAAATTTAATGTGAGTTTCATTTTAAATGGTTGCAATAGGCAATAGACATAGGCATAGAATCATATTTGGAAATTTTAGGCTTTCAGCTATGTTAAGCTAAACTAAAGTACTGGGAATTCTTCTCCAGGAGTTGATGGCTACTCCTTTCATCTGTTTGTTTATCTTCTATTTTTGGTGGAAACAAAATGAATTTGTTGATTGGTACAATTGGAGCCTAATATAGTTAAATACATTTTAACAAAACATTTCAAGATAACTAATTTCTGGCACTTCCAAACACCCTAGATAATTTCTGTTTCACTGTGCTGTTATACAGCTTTAATGTTGTGTGTGTCAATCTTATGTAGCCGTCTTACGGTAATATGTACTTAATTTCAGTAATGAAAGAAACAACAGCATAAAGCCATTAGAAAATCAATCAACAAACTTATTCTACAACTGTAGACTGATAGTAGGAATAAGACTCTCCAATATTGATTGGTACATTTGAGTATATACAATTGTGATGATCTCCCTCTAAACCTAAAGTATTAATAGTATACACTGCATTTGGAAACACCATAGCCTCCTGAAGCTGTGCTGAAGTGCAGTTGGTAAAGCCGTCTTATATCAATATATTTGTGAAATAAAACAAAGTGTGCTAATGAATTCATAGAAGCTATTATCTAGCTCCTATACTTCAGCTCCAATTTCTTCATTGCAAAGTTAAGAACTTCAAACACCATTTTATTGTCCATGCTCGGCTTTTGCTGCTGTATTTTTCATTGTGGTGTCATCCATGGTTTATGAATCTGAATGGTTGTATTGATAGGAAACAGTGATAATATCAGTCATTTTGTCTAGGAAAGTTGCATTTTTGTAGTCACCCTAACTTAATGAGGAAAGATCCTACCTGTAGTTACATATGTGTCCTAGTTTATTGCAAAATCCCTTCATTTGCCAAGACTACCAATCTCTCCTATATTTCCTGATATCTACGACTAGCCAATTATATCTATCCATCTTGTGTCCCAGGTCTTGAGAGAAGTCAGAAATATCGCATCTATTGAGCAACACATTTGAAATTTACCGCATTATATGTCTCTATAGTGTGCTTTAGTGGACTCATCATTTGCAATTTTCATAAAGCTAGTATTGCTGATTACTTCTGGCTACCTCTTCTTTCCTCTCTTAACTAACCTCATCTTGCTTTGTCTCCATTCAGGAGCCAAGAGTGGAATCCAGAAAGTCAAGGAAACTGCTACAACGAGAGTAACCCCATTTTTAAGGAGAATTACTGGGGAACTGGTTCCGACTTGCAAACAATGAGTATTGTGGAGGATATCCTTAGTCGATTAGGATCTAAGGTCACAGTTCTCAACATCACTCAGCTTTCTGAATATCGAAAAGATGGCCATCCTTCTATTTATCGCAAGTTTTGGGAAACACTTAGTCCTGAACAGTTGTCAAAACCTGAGTCATATTCTGATTGTATACATTGGTGCTTACCTGGTATACCTGATGTATGGAATGAGCTGCTCTTCCATTTTTTGTTAGAAGGATACACAAAATTGTAATTAGCATATTCCATTATCAACACTGTTTACTATAATTAAGTCAAAAGTTTCACCAAAAATTCATAGATGTGCTCGAATATGAATTATGAGGTTTACACTTGGTTAAACATCTGCTGTCAATACTACATAATTGTCTCAAATTTTTCAAAGGATTTGCCTATGAGTCGTCAGTTATCACATTACTTGACCATCAACTCTCAAATCAAGCAGTGATTGCTGTTACAAATTGTTATACTGATGAGGATCATGGAGTTGAGGGACGGTTTGTCCCTCCATCTCCCGCAGGAGTGACCTGGGTTCGATCGTCACCCCACCCCTCCTGTGACAAGAGGGGCACCACCTGTATCTTACCGTGTAAAAAATAAATAAAAATTGTTATACTGGTTCCGATTCTGAAACTCTAGCACTTGCACCAATCTGATGCACGAGTGGATAAATAATTCGGAACAAACACATACCAAACTTAAGTTGACAATTGCTCTTAATTACTGTAATATTGAGTAGTTTATGATTAATCTTAACCTGGAAATCCAAGTAACAATTTCCACCATATCTGTTGTGTATTTAATCATTAAAAGAGTTTCATTTACATTTTCAAGTTTTTATCAATCATTTCTTGAATTTTTCTTCTATATCTATTGCTATTTTTGGCTGTCTTCTGAATCCTAACTAGTTATAGCCAGGCAGAGAAAGTGAGAGTGTTAAATCAATGCCTCCACCGCCAATGCATCCATCACTTCCATTAAACTGAGAGTTTTCTTCAGAAGCAACACCATCACTCGAGTTTTGAGTCATCACCCCACTGTTCAAGCCTAGAGTCACAGCATCCTAGTACAAAATTGTAAGTAGAAAATTCATGAGTCAAATACTCAAAATAAACATAAGCTGTCTCAAATTTCAAGTATTCAAGAAAAATAAAATTAGTCTTAGAATGATACCTTCTTACAGATGGTGCCATCCTCCTCAACATGCCACCCTGCTTCGTCACATAGCGCCTTCAAAAGATCATTATTATCAGCATGCTTAGGCAACTTATAACCACCATGAGCTCGAAGCCCTTCAAATATTTTCCTAGTGATAAGGCGACGTTTCTTCTCCCTCTCCTTGTTATTTAGACGTTCCCTTTCACTAGGAAACCGTAGGGAGCTAACAACACCCTTCTTCTTAGTGTTTCGACGTACAATCCAAGGCCCTTGAGTAGTCTTAATACACCCTCTTGCTTTGTTACTTTTCTTCATAACTCTCATTCCTTCCATTTAGTTTTTTCTTTTCAAAATAAAAAAGTTTCAAGTACTCTGAACATTCTTGTTCCTTGTTGTCCTATTTATACATATAACGATGAAACAGGCTTTAACAAACTTATGTGAGAGTTTGATCAACGGTTGATGATAGTGTTTCGATTAACGGACATGATTAAATGAAGTTATATGTGTGAGTGTACTAGTAGTGTACTAAAGCTTACCATTGAGTAACAGAGAATGTTTGTTAATAAAAGTTGAGAGAGAAGAATAAAAGTAGTACAAAAAATGCAGAGATTAACAAACATGCAAAAGCATAGGGTGTAATATTATGGCGGCTTGTTTTATTTTCTTAGCAAATGAGCATGTTGTATGAGCTTCAAACATGTTCTTTCAGATTATTTTGTAAGAAAAAGGTCTGGAAAAGTATGGTTTTCTGATGAAATTTTTATGCTTTTGGGATCAAAAACCACATAATTTGATATTGCATATACTATTAGTTTGTTCTGGTCATTTGGTCCAATTGAATAGGTATGTGGTTATGTACATATATATATATATGTACACGCGATTTAAGCATGTTAGTCATTAAAATAAGGATTTTTAAAATAATTAATCGAGTTAAAATATACATTAGAATACTCTCACTTATTTAGACAAAAATCCTGAACCTGGTACAACAAGAGTACAAGTTCTTAGAAGTATACTAAGAACACCTATTGTAGAATTTGGTTAATGTATAACCTAGAACCCTTTCTCAAAGAGTCAAAGATAGCCCTAAAAAATTTGTTCTTACATAAAATGGCAACTGACATTGACTTTATGAGGAATAATAATTAACAAGCAAATGACAATGTTTTGTAAACGTAATATTGGAAGGAAATCAATACAGTGTAAATTAAAAGCAACTTTAAAAAGTTTAAGAAATAATTGATAATAGATAATTAAATTACTCCCTTTATTTCAAAATAATGGACATTTTCGCTTTTAATCATAGCCATAGTAAAATTAATCAACTAATCATTAATTGTACTATGGCGGAGAGAACGAAAAAGTGGAATGTTGTATAATAATGGAATATTATATGAAAAATAAATATATAATAAGGTAGTGGAGCTAAAGTTTAAAAAGAAGTGGTTTATATTTTTCAAATAAAAAAAATGCAAGTGTAATCATTATTCTAAAATGACTAAAATAGAAAATTGTAACCGTTATATTTAAACAGAGGGAGTATATTATAAGTGAATAATTAGGCTTCATCATTTATCGAAACATGAATCCAAATTCTATGCAAACTTGTGAAGTTAGAGGTGACTAGCGGACCAACTCTGGCAGGCCAAAGCCAACTCACATTTGTTCACCAGCTTAACTTGAGCCTTAACCATTCTTGTCTCAAAGGGACTGTTTTACGGAGCTATACTTTCATCCTGTCTTGAATAAACAGTTTGACTTATCCTTTAGAGGAAGAAAAAGTGATAATCTTCCAATAATTCATTGCTGGGTACAAGATGATAACAACTTCCAAATATCTACAACTCAATTGATCCAGCTCTTTCATTCAATTTTCAAGGTTTCTTCGTGTGTACCTATTTTCTGTGTTGGGGGAGGGGGGCTGTACAACCTAATATGCTGAATTTACACAATTACAGATATTGTTACATTAAATAACTCATCAGCCCCCCTTTGCTGTACAAATTTGGCAATGTCCTGCAGGAACAGACTAGCATGACTCTGGCCAATTCTAGCAGACGCAACCTCCATCTAAATGCTTGAAGTTGTATCAGATCATTCAGGGGCAGTGTTGTGTTACATATTAGGTTGATTGCAGCCATCAAGTTTCCAAGCTTGAAAAGGATGTTCTTACCACAACCTTACATGTTTGTTGTCTTGCCTGGTTATCCCAGCATCTGTCTGTCATTTGGCTATGTTGATGGACAGAAACAAAGATCATCCTGCTGGTTGTAGGTCGTGCTTTGTAGCTGAGAGACAGCTTGGAGAAGTATCATCACTTGCGGGATTCCAAATAGTTTGATACACCCTCTTTCACTGATCCAGCTAAAAATTTGAGCTCCTAAGATGCACGCTTCATCTATTTCATATGTTGCATGGATGCTCCATATATGTCAGAGCATGGTATAAGAAGATTCAATATTAGAACTTGCTAGGGCTCATACAGGAACCTGGATTCAGCTCCTGCTAATAATCACTGCAAAAAGTCCCCTACTTGTGAGCATTTGTGTTGACAACTAGACCAATTGGACCTAATCCAAAGTTCCAAACACCTCAGATGCATGAGTTATGAAAAAGGATAAAGGCAACATCTCAACTTACACAACAGTCAGGTTTTAGACATCCTAACCTTTAGGACCACCAACTATATGCAAAATCTTCTCCCTGAGCTTCTCGATTGTCTGTATTATGTACGCCATAGTTTATGATAGTGAGCATCAAAGGAAAAACAAAGAAATAAAAGTTATATGAAGCTGATGCTTACCGAGCTTGCACTCTGCTGCCATTTCTTTACTAGCCCAAAGGCATCCTTGAGATGGGAACAGTAAGGATGATTGTATTTAAGGTAATATGTCGAATTTTCAGTAGCTTCCGCTACCCACATAAGATTTACATGATCCTTAGTTCTCTTCACAAGATTGCAGAAGCCAATCTGTAACAAAATTAGAGGGGAAAAAAACATAGAAAAATTAGATCCTACACTCTACCAGAAACAATTCACAATTAGAACACTTATCTCAATTTCATTTATAAAATAATAAATAAATAATTAAAAAAATGCAGTAAGAGCATAGCAAGTTCAAAATAAAAGAACATGACAGTACTCTTTATGGAGTATAATGAAAAGAACATTGACTGGGACTCTGGGAGCATAATTGCACATCTGCTCCCACATATAATATAACAATGTGCAAATAAAAATGAAAGCAACTTGGTGGAATTTATCATCAATGTATGCCAGTTTGAATAAATAATGAGCCAAAAAATGAACATATGGCAATAAATTTACGCAACATCATAATTAATCGCTATAAAGTAATGCAAGATAAGCAGAACCTACTTTTTCATTATATGCTAATGATCAATTTACAAAGTAAGCTGACTAAACCCTCCTCCCCCATCCCATCCTGGGTACAATTGCAAAATATCAAATATGCCCACACCCTCACCATACTCCAGTGAGAAAGAGAAGAAAGCTCAATTGTTCTACACTAATTATATGTAATGAAAGTCAACCATTACATTAAATCTCAACTATAAACTACATCAGAAAGCCTTTAACCGCAGATTCTATTGAGACGAACAGCTTGAAAAGATTAGAAAATAATAAAACCTAAAATCTAAAAATTATCCCTAAAATAATTAGATTTAATTTGACCAATGGTCTAGATTTGTTCTCATATATATAAGCTCAGCCCTGAGCTTGATCAGTGAAGAAGATCTTCATTTCAACCTATCATACCACCAACTATCCCTTCTTAGCTAAACTAGTCCTCATTAAATGCAAAATTGCAGTTCAAATGTTCATACTTCCAAGTAAATGTCACTGCAAAGTGCAAACAACTTCTCTAGCTTAAATAAAATAAATAAACAAATAAATAAATAAATATATAAAAAAAAAATGGTTACTTACTATGCTGCCAACAAGGTTATAATTGACTAGAGATAAGGAATCGTCATCACCACACGGTGAACAGAAGTTAATAGCCAGCAAGGAGAATGTTGATACTTCTGTTTCGCACAAGGATCCATCAGTAACAAACACCCACTGTTTCTTTTGCTTACCAGATATATACTCAAGGCCCACATGTAAAACCAGCATGGCTGTATCAAATTCACTGTGCAGCCAAAATAATGGAAGTAAGAAAAACACATATTTCCACAACTCTCTTAAGCTTTAAGCATAATAACTCAAAAATGCTACCATGTTACAATCACCTGGACAAAGGAACCTCCCCCATTCTTGACAATGATACTGGCTTGCGAGGATTAAAGAAGGGCCTAAAGAAAAAATATAGTCAGATTAGATAAGTCTTATATACAGTTTGACAATCCAGGGAGCAGATACTTACCCAAATGATTCCTTCTCTTTAGTAGTCAAAGGCTTCCATTTGGTGCTAGAACCTCTAGCTTGTAAATATAGCGTACTTAGATCAGAATGCGATGGTATAAGACCTGAAATAGCATAAGCCTGCCCCTCTACGAGCTCTAGCTTCTGACAAGTGCAAATACCATTTCAAATTGAGAACAGATACTCAGACAAGTTCAATTTGTCAAGTCAAGATGGTGTATGAGGGAAGAAGTTACATCTAAGTTTGGAAGCATGCAACAAAAGAAGATTTCTCTTAATCTGTACCAACCTGCTGTTCGGTAGGATTCCAAATTGTAATTAATCCCTCTCTTTGAACTTCACCTTTGTATTGTCCTCTACTTTTTAATCCAACAACCCTAACTCGCATAAATGGGGTGACGTCTCTAGCACTTAATCCAGCGTCTTCAAGTGCTTTCTCAATCAACCTCTGCAAGTCACCCTGCCTTGTCTCCTGCAGTAAGGAAGTATATTAGCTTTATATAAAATTTGGAATCTCATCAAAGCATGAGAGCAGGAACACACATCAATGGTTGCTCGATATTTGGAGAATGATGCTAGCTGCTCAGAACTCATTTCTGCCATCAATAGTTCTGGTTCAGCAGCACTCTCAAGCATCTTCATGATCTTTGCTCCTTCATTGTCATAGTCATCCTCTGTACAAGAACCAACCAAACCTCTCTGAAAGTCTGATGTAAGTCCTTCTATAATGTTAGAGCGCCTGCACAACAAAAAAGCGTGGAACGTTTAGTGTGAAACGTCTCCTAAATTTTTCAGCATACTTTTGGGCAAGTGATATTCAGAGCCAATGTACATTGAATCTTATGGTTCCATTAAGAATGGATAAAGTGATCAAACAGAAAACAGAGCCAATGTACATAGGTTCCATTAGAGCTAATGTACATACTTCAGGTTTTTTTTTTTTTTTTTTTTTTTGTTGTTGTTGTTGTTGTTGTTGTGTGTGTGTGTGTGTTTGGGAGGGGGGGGGGGGCATCCACAATACTTCTGAAAATAATGTCCCTACTAGTCTGAGCTTCTTACACTATGTTTGGGTACAATAGTGAAGGGAAAGGGAGGGGAAGGAAAAAGAGGGAAGGGAAAGGGAGGGGATGGGAGGGAGAAGGTGGCTTTTCATCTTCCTTCCAAATCTCTCCAATAATGGAGGGATTTAGTTTAGAAAAAGGTAGAAGGAAAATGGATCCTTCCAATTCCCTCCCATTCCCTCCTAATATTAGATATCCAAATTTCCCCCAAACAAAGGATGATGTATCCCTCCTTTTCTTTTCTCTTCCTTTCCCTCCATTTCTCTCTATCCAAACATTGCCTAAGGGATCAGGTTGCAATCTTCTTCAACCATGCCAAGTGCCACTGGTGAGACAGCACCCAGGTGGTTGCTGCAGTTAATATGCAAACTAAAATCATCAATTGAAATAACTTTGAGCTTTATTGAATCAGTCAACCAAACTCATCATTAATGTCAAATAACACTCATCACATCACATTGGTTTGAATTGGAAGAACTTAATCTTTTGGCGGACTTGTTCACTTTAAAGACAATTTTGCAGCAATTGTTCATATGAACCTTATAACAAAGCTTACATGAGAAAGGATAAAAAATTATTTTAAAGAAAACTCGAGAAGAATTTTCCACTTGAATATAATTATTAAAGACAAGTTCAACAGTACATGTGATCAGGCTTTTTTCATAGTTAAGCATATGTCAACACAACTACTCCACCATGATTCAATAGTATTACTTGGATCTAAACAAAATTGTTCACCAAAAATGCCAAATAAATGGCAACACAACTATTCCACCGTGATTACAAATAATCATCGATTTAAAAGGTAAACAACTAGCCATTCACCAACAATGACAGTGGATAGTATTCCACCATGATGTATTAAAGTGATCATTGGTTCAAAAAATGAGAAACAATCACACATCTAACCAACAATAGCAGGGCAAACCTCACCTCCGGTTGTAAAGCTGAGTTAGTGAAGCCTCCAACTTTTCTGACCTCACAATATAGCCTCCACTCTTTAACCTGTAGAAGACACAATTGGTTTACATTATATCATCAAAAGTAGAACATTGTTCAAATGTGCATCAGCATCGGAAGTCTACCTTTCCCTGTAAAGGACAGGGTACATCCTAGTAACTCCAACTAGGGTCCTAGGGATTAGACCTCCATTATCCTTGATGCATCTGAATGCCAATGGTGCACACATTCCTCTACCTTCAAATTCAATGTACCAGGTAAAGACAGCCAAGACAATGAGACTACCATCAAGTCACAATCAAAATGTTTAGAAAGAAGAGAAGTAAATTAGTTAATGATACTCACATAATCCTAAGCGTTCATGCCAGCTAGCTCTGTACGTTCCATTAATGTGCAGCATTAAACTAATTAATGGTGATGCCTGAGAAAAAAGAACAGGTCTGAGGAAACCCATAGAATAACCCAAATGGATGTAGACAATTGGTTATACTACTCAGCTACTTTGAAGTCTTCAAGAAAGCCAAAAAGGCAAAGCAAACCTTGAGCGGAGAAACAGGTCCGTTCCAGCCAATTAAACCAGCTCCACATATCTACAGGACAAATAATCATTAAGAAACTGTGTTCTCAAGCAATATCCTTAGAAAGCCATGGAGTGCATTAAACAGAAATGCTATACCCGTAGTTTTTGTCCCACAAATAACTTCCCCGCATCAAGTTGCTTTGACAGCACAAGATCTAACTGGGCACATACTGAGTACCACCCATCAGTAAGTTCTATTCTAGAATTGCTACTCTTATCTGCCATACTTGTACTTGGATCCTCAATCTCAGAGACACATAACACCAGCATGGAAGAAGGTGATGCATCTCCTTCTAGAATTCTTTTGATTGCAGAACGCTGACCATGGTTAACTTCACGTTCATATCTGCAAAAGTGCATTAAAAAATGTCTTCAAGCACTTATTTCAATGAAAAAAAAAATAACATAACATAATTATCATTTACCTATACTTTAATTCCTCAAGCACATCAGAAATAGTTAAAAATTTCTTCATAGATTTAGATGAATAACACCTCTCATAGCTTGCAAGTTTCCACACAATCCACTTGAAGTGATTTGTGACCCACCTACAAGATAAACAATAAAATTAGCTTCAAGGACTAAAAGTTATAAGAAGCAAAACAACCTTCACTGTTGAAGAATCAAAAAGATTAAAACTGAATCTCAACTGCCCCATATTATTAGGAATGAAATAAATATGCATGGTAAAATTGTGGTCTATCTCATAGTGTTCCAACTCTTGCTAGACAATTCTGCAAGTGGATGAGGGGGGCCCAAGTCAGGTCTAATATATTATTGTTCCGCAGGTTTCCAGCCAAATTAATCTAACTTCATGTTAACTTTCACAAAAACTGCTTATAATGTACCACATGGGTCTTTTCCAGTGTCTGGTATATATCAGGTAAACAGAGCACACATCAAAACTAGCTTAAGCTCAAGCAGTTCATAAAATTTTAAATTCATTCTGCTATCTAAGTCAGAAGGTAAGATTTCTAAGACTAAAAAAACTTAACTTCTTCCTAATACAACTAGTCTGGGTCTAGATAGGGGAGAAGAGGGGAATGTTAGAATAGTTTACTCTTTTGATGCATGTTGCACAGAAGCTCCAGACTGAACCAACAGATGGTAGAAATTTTCAACACCAAACCGCTGGGATCCATCAACAAATGTGTATTTCTCTGACGTTCGAGGGGTTATCTGCCGCACTTCCTCTGGAATATGGTCCAGCTACATTCATTAAGGTTCAGTGGAAATTTCAGGTACAACAAACGGAAGTGCTAACAGTAAAATGATCGATTATAATTCCATTACATACCAATTCTGGATAGGTCGGAGGCTTTTCAAAAAATTCCTTGACATACAATCTTGAATTCTGAAAGGGGTAACGGGTACAAACTCTTTTTCGACAATTTGAAGCCTCGGATTCCCTGCTGGACAATCCTAAATCACAAACAGCTTGTTAAGTAGGAATGGGTACTGAATCTTTGTCAAATCCATTAAATGATTTCATAACTCACCATCAGGGATGGAAGAAAGGTTGCTATTCAGAGGAGTGATGAACTTTGAATTTCTTGGCATTTTGAATGGAGAAACAGAACTTCTTTTCCCAAGTCTCTTCAGCTCAGTGGTTGTTCCTTTTTTAATTGCAGAGACTTTAGAGTCAATGCCTATAGTGTTTGATATATCAGATAGTGGCACCCCGGATGACTTTGAGAATCTATGGAATCCTGGACCAGCACCATTGGCCATGGAGGGCTGCAGAACTGGATCAGGTACATTAGACTTTCCTTGCAAACTATTTGTCGGGCACGATAGTTTACCATTTGATTTGCAGTTACTTTCCTCAGCATCGAATTTCCTCATTAAATTGGTCCCTGAGATCAAGTTCTCTGATTTGGTTTCTAACAATGGCTTCATAGTAGAAGATGATTTCATTGGAGATACAAAGATCTTTGGATTTTGTTCAGATTTATGAGAGTAATCAGTCTTATTTTCCTTATTAAAGAAGCTCCCATCAGAATCTCCAGCCTTGATAAACGAAAACATGGAAGCACCTACATCTCCCTCATGTGAAGGACTGTCCATCTCTGGATCGCTAAGAAGGTTTCGCGCTCGCTGCAAGGCATCCCTAGAAACTGATATGAATCTGCCACCAGCAGTATTGAACTTAATTGCGGGCGGTTTGCAGATAGAATCAGACATCTCTGGTCGTATAAGTTTAGCAAAATCCTCATCACCAAACTCAGCTCCAGACGAATCACTCTTCAAATGAAACGGAGACTTTGAGAAGTGCATATCCTTATTGGCTCCCATACTGCTGATCCCAAACTTCCTCTTCCCTGAAGATGAATGTTTTTCAAATGCAGACGTGTCCACACCACGAAATTTCTTCTTTGCAGGCTCAGACCCTTGGGTAGAGAAATCATCATTACTTTCTTCGACACTCAACAATGCTCTAGCTCTAAGAAGCCCACTAGAAGATACATTAACTTTCTTCCCAGAGCCCGTTTGAAACATAGAATTAGGAGTACTGAACCCATTTCCCTTAAAACATGGTTGCTCTGAAAAAGCAATTGAATAAAAACTTTATTAAGCATAACATGCACAATTCTAGTTTTCCAATCCCCGAGGTGTTCACATTCCAATTATGGAGTATTTCTAACCAGTTCCTATAAAATGCATTATTGCATAGTGCTTAGTTTAGGATGTACACTAACATCAACTTATTCAAAATAATTTCACACAGCCAAAAGATAACGTTAACAAACAACGAAATGGTAATCAGCAAGAGTTCAGCACTGTCTCGAACACCTCAAAATAAATTATAGCTGAAAATTCAGCTACAAATATATCAAAGCACAGTAAAAACTAAACCAGCAAAACCTATCACAAATCAAATTCCCCAAATTTCAATCACATCAATTCCAGCTGAGCACGCATAATTGAAAAAAACCTAATACAATTAAAAATCAAAATATCAAACATAAACCTAAGAAATAAATCAAAATTCTACAAAACAAAAAGTGTTGAAACCCTAACCTGTATCAAAATTATCGATAAAATCATCACCAAGAACAGAAGAAGCTTTCGCAATCGACGATTTCTTCAAAACAACAGAACTCCCGGATCCAGTTCGAAACATCGGAATATCATCATCAACAACATTTCGATTGTCACAATCCTCCAAAATCTTCGAACATCCTGCACAATTTCACCATCATTTATCAAAATCAAATCAATTATCACTGAAAACCTCCATTAAAGGAGAGAGAAAGGAATACCTTGAAGCAGAACATCGTGGAAGGAAGGAAGAGAAGGCGGAGGAGTAGAGCAATGGTGGTTGGTTTGCTGGTGGGAGGGTTGATGTGATGGAGAAACTTCCCACCGGAAATTGTCTCCGGCATCGGAAAATATCTGCCAAGTCGACATTACACGGCGTCGACGGCGAGAATTCGTCAATTTTCCGGCGAGTTTTGGGGTTTAGGGCTTTTTCAACTTTTGGGTAATTGAAATATGAAATGTGTAGTGAGCAATGTGTGTTAGCGGAAACTTTTTTCACAAGGCGGGAACTTTGAAGTTCTTTTGGCTTTGTTTGTTTGACAAGTGAGGCGGTGAAACAACAAACCACTAAGGATTTGCCGATTGGACTAATGAGCCCTCCCTCCGCATTTAGGATAACTAGAGGAGTGCAATTAGGCGTATAGTTGTTATTTGTCTGGGATGCACATAGGAGGGTTAATTGGTAAATTCACTTAATTTTCGTGATTTTTTATTGCTATAGTGGTATTTTTAATGTACTACTATATTTATAATGGTATTTTTAATGTATTATTATCCTATTTTTCATACTATTAGAGTATAAGTTATTTTAGTAGTATTATTTATAGCCATTATAGGTAACAGTGGTGCTATATTTGTACCACTAGAAAAAAAAATAATTAAGCGCTATTTTGTCTTATAGCTGCTATTTACTTGCCATGTAAATAGCAGCTATGCGTCAATACTTAACCTAACTAAAGTGTATCCCGTGCTAACGCACAGTAAATATGTAGCATGTAGAAGTTATAATAAACAATAGGAAAAGTGGAAGTTTTTTTTTTTTTTTTGAACGGGAAGTAATAATATCATAAAAGTGGAGGTTATTTAATTGGATGTTGTAAACCAAAAAAAAAAATATGCATGAGGATTTGAGGATGAGGTTTTTGGAGAGTTGTGGTTAAATAAGTGTGCAATTATATAAAAAAAATTATAATTATATGCGTTTAAAACAAGTAAGGCAACTTACGCGTGCGATGCAACCATATTTGGAAGTTCTTTCGTTTTGGTCTTAAATCATAAATTTAGTTGTTGATATGTAAATAACTATGTTAGGGGTATAAATGTCCAAACAACTAACATTAATGAGAACAAATAAGTAAATAAACATTTTAGGGTATAATTGTCCAAATGCTATTTAAGTATTTATTAAAAAAAATTGTACATATTAATAAGGGTAACATGTAAATACACATTTTTAAAAGGTATAATTGGCATTGCACTATTCATATGAGTAAACTTATAGTTCCTCCTTTTTTTTATAGTTGCAACTAGGGGTACTAATCAAGCAAGTCGATCACGAGCAGAGGGTTGCTCGACTCGTGCTCGTTAATTTTCGAGTCGAGTCAAGTCGATCACGAGTTACTCGTTTAAAAGTTTAGGTCTCTTGAATTTCAAATATTTTATTATCCTTATATAAATTTTTCCTACTTAAGTTTATTATTTTAAATTTATTAAGTGTCAAGGTAAATTTTTGTTTTTAAAGACAAAAGAATAGAAAATTATTGAATTTCTTGTACACTTATCAAGTTTCGAGCTCATTCGAGCGAGCATGAGCAAACTCGAGTCAAGTTTTGACCAAGCGTTGACCGAGTCGAGTTCGAGCTACTTGCGAGTTGCTTTTGTCAATTCACGGTATTTAAAAAAAGTTTACCTCACATGATATAATACACTGAGGTTAATAGGTTGTTAGAAATATAATCAAGTGAGTCATGAGTTTTAAATAAAGGTAATAGTACAGTTTTCACCATTAAAACCTTTCTTGATAATGTGTAATGTGACATTTTCATTTTAGAAAAGTAATGCAAGTACCTTTTATAAGGTATGGAAATAACATGTTCTTCAAAAATGTCTGGTAATGTTATATTTTTTAAATTTTCTCAATGGTAAATTGTAAAAAATCTTATTATCTTTGATAAACTCTAATTAGCTACATACATTAATTAAATGGTGACACTAATGATGATTATGTGTAATTATAAGGCTAACTCTAGTTAACTAAAGGCTTAACTTAATGACTAATTTAACCCTATTTTATTCCCAAATCTGGCTTTCCCTCCAAAAGGTATTTCCCTTTTTTCCTCCTAATCGATTTCCCCCTTTATATAAACCCTAATTTTCAATATTTCCCCCAATTTTCTCTCCTCTCTATTCCTGTCTTCTCTAATTTGCAATGAAAAATTCGCACGCATCTTCCTTTATGAAGCCTATCACCATGGATGATAAGATAGCTTGGGTTAAGCATGTGTGTTGCAATTGTGTTCCCACCACATAGTTACGTTGAAGATATCAGAGACCACACAAAACATATCTAACTTCAATTCTCACTAACAATGGTATATATCTTCAAAAGATCGAACTTTGATTCCAAATGAACAATCGCCGAGAAAATTTTACCTCAAAAACTAGCGCGCAAAACGTCACACAATTTACCCACACTTTTCACCAAAATTCCCTCGAAATTTGTCTTTGCGATTGACAATACACCTTTAAACAAATACCCAAATTAAAGCCTAGAAAAAACTAGCCCTAATTTATTTGCATAACAATTGAAACGAAATTCTCAATTTCTCCTTGAAATTCGAAAGTAGAAGATGAAGAAGGTAAATGGTTTAAATCCTTCATTAGTGTTAATTCATTAGACATAGTTAGTTGAAAGCAATCAGTGACGGTAGTTTAGGAATTTTAGCGGTTTTCAACTTTTGTATAAATTTTTTTTAACCATGGTTAACCATTAACTATAATGCCTTAATGCATCATTTATGTCACCATTTGATTAATGTAGCTAATTAGAGTTTACCAATAACAATAATAATAACTAGTGAGTATTTCAGGCGTTGCCCCGGGTTACTACTGTTGTAGACGTGCAATCAATCAATTTTTTTAAGGGTTTTTCAAAAATGTAATTGTCATTGTCAAACCAAAATTGAGTTATTTTTTGAGTATTTTTTTTTCATTGAACCTTGTGGTTTGCACTTATATAAATTTTTTTTACGTATTAACAACATTCTTGATAATTGGCTTAGATGGTGAAATTGTTATCTTTCTTATAAGAGGTTGAGGGTTCAATTCTCCTATCCTTACATTTTTATATTTAGTAATGTTAGTTGATGATTGGGTGATGTGGCATTGTTTGAGTGATGATGTGGCGTCATGCGATGTTGGGAAGATGATGTGGCGCAACAAAAAAGGGATTACGTGGCACATCAACCTTTTAACACCTTTTAATATATTGTATAGATTTTTCTTACCACTAAAAAAATTATAAAAAATAAATAAATAAATTGAGTAGGCAAAATTTTGGAAAAAGAAAGTGTGAATAGGCATAACTATATAATGATTAATGAAACTAGCTTTAGTTCCGTGCATTGATAGATTGTAATCTTTTGTGAATTGGAAAAAAAACTTTCTACTAATGTATTAATTTTGTAATCTAGTCACTCATTCGTGACATTAGTGATGTTTTTTTAACAATTCTTTAACTATAGTTTGGTAATTTATTATCTTAACAATTAAAACAATATTCTTACAACTTAATTATTTTATTAATAATAATAAAAAAAAAAATCCCTCCCCACCAGCCTACCCTCCCTCTACTACCTTTGCCAATAGTCGGTTGCTCCCACCCCTACGTTGGCGCTCATTCCCTCTTTATTCGGTTAATTTTAGTATATAAGGATCGCAAAAAATCAAAAAGGATTTCTTAGGCTTCATTCTGATGGGAATCTTTGTTAGGTATATAAGAGAAAACATCAATTGAATTTTATTTTATACTCAGATGAAATTTTCTATTTTCTCCCATCAAATATGTGAAATCGATTACTTCAAGGGCCCTAAAATCAAATTCAATTGAATAAAAATATAATATATGTTTTTAAGAATACAATATCCCTTATAATTCAATGTAAGCTAAGTAATGTGAAATTTCTGGGTAATTTCTGAGAGTTTAATCGGGGAAGGGTGATGGGTAGGGAAAAGGGAAGAGGATAATGAGGTGTTGCTTGTGTGGGGGGATAGAGAAGGGGTTGGGGGTCGCCAACGTGGGATGTGGCACCGAGGAGGATGGATGTTTGCAGGGGTGGTAGCTATATCTTACTCTTGGAACCCTCACTAGTACCTTCTTTTCGTTTAGTATTCACATGTATACACATTAAACACAGACACAAATAGTTGTCAATCCTATTTTATGTGTTTGAGGTTCATTGCCTCTACATCTAATTGAATTGTTAATTAGAGTTATATTTCATAAAATATATTATATATGCTACATAGTTATATATGCTATCAACTCTATTCACAAATTATAAAATATTGTTTACTTGTCGTAGTTTACGCACATTTGGAAAATTACATTTTGTTTGGGTTTTAACAATACTACAATTTGCAACAGGTACAATTTTGAAAATTGTGAAAGTAAACCACATTGCAAATAAAGTTTCAAAAAATACCATGAGTTGTTTGTAATCATCTCACTCCTTTCGTTTTTTTACATAGTGATAAAAATATTCTAGAATGAAAAACTAGAGAGAAGTGAGTGCTTCTGAGCACATTTGACCTAATATGAGTCTCCATGTCCTAATAAATGATACACTCTTAGAGTTATTTATAACCATTTGGGATTAGTGTTTCCTTTTGCTAAACCTAAAATACTATGATATGAATGGAATATTATTGAGATCGTTCCAAGTATACAATAAAGATTAATTCCTAGATTTTGGCCATTAAGATAGTTTAAGAGGACAAAAACCTAAAGATATTGGGCCTTTTGTATTTGAGCATATTATGCAAAGTAGGTGTGAAACGTGTCATTATTTTTTTCACTTACTAGATGAAAGCCTGTGCATTGGACGATTTTTCTACATATAAATTCCGTAAAAGGATAATTTTATTAATTAAACCATATAATATTTTGATTAATTACATTTAAGTGAAAATATGTTATGTTTCGGGGTTTTCTGTGTCCATCGGGAGAGTTACAACACCAAGACTGGATTCCGGACGCCTGTACCTGCAAAACAATGGAGACTCCGGTTGGGTGGAGTTCCGACTCCGATGATCAAGTTAGAACGTGTTCGGAAGATGTAATTAGTGCTGAAAGAAAGGTGGGATCCTCTCGGATTCCGAGATCAGGTATATTCTCGGTGGTGAGAATTAATTATTTGCAATCATTGACTTCTCTGGTTTTTTTGTGAATAATGAAGGTGTGTTTCCTAGGGGGAGAACATCCCTCTATTTTTAGAGTCTTGGGATTCGTGCCACCAT